AAATTTTAATTCATGGTGTAGCTAACAGTATTTAATGTGTCTGTTTCCCCTAAATACGATGCCTAATCATTTTCTCTTTGCTATTTGATAGTTGTGTTAGTAGGCGCTTGGAAATGAAAGCTTCTTGTGTGTATATGAAACCTTTTCCAGTGAGACCCACTATGAATCTAGGGAATTACCCCTGCTTTGGGAATTTTGTAATCTGTTTCATGTAGTTCACCTGGTTGGAACCTTTTACCAGAGGATATGAAATTAAGGCTTGTTAACTGATTGTATCTCTAGTTATTCAAAACTGTATAGTTTGGTATAACACATTTTCTGTTATTTCCTCTCTAAAAAAACATCAATGCTGAATATTAAAATACAGATTTATTTTTCCATACAGTGATATCTACTTTTGTAGTTTAGTTTTGTAAGACTGTTGCCTCAAAATTAGAAAAATTGACTTTCTTGTCCAAAACAATGAGATAGCAGATATTTGGGAAATAAAGACATTAATAAATGTTTATTTAAAAGTCTCTAGTCAGCTTAAAGTAATACTTTGGCAGGTGAGATTTTGTGGCATTTAATAAGAATTTGTCCGTATGTTTAAAAATAACAAAAGCAAGATTTATGTGACTAAAGTATGTTATAAAATAACTGAAGTTTATTTTTAGGTGAACCCATGAATTCATTTATGAATAAGTGACAAAATTTAATTTTATTTCCTGGTAAATCTGTTCATTTAACAAATATTTGTTGAAAACATAGTCTATGCTGAGCCTTGGGAAATTTAGTCTAGTTAGGAGTTAACATTTCATGTATCTGTATTCTATTATAAATAGCAATCACTTGGTTGTAACATTAGAGTCACCATGGGTGATAAAAATGAAAATGCCATAGCATACAGAGGTCATACACTCCGTGCAACTTTTGTTTGAAGAAAGCATTGATAATTGAATCTAGCTGAGGTTTTTTTTATTGTTATTTGGTTCTAACATTTTGAGTGTCATTTTGATTTGTTAATTTTTTGAGGGAAATCATTGGAAAAGAGCTTTTTTTTTTTAAACTTTGAAAATGTTTGTTACCACTGAACTACAATCTGCTTGTCTGAGATGGACACATAAATCAACAAAAATCTAAAATGAGGATATATAAGCTATTTTGTTAGAATATGAGATTAAGTTATTGGTTGTGTATTTTGAGAAGGACATTAAATAGGTGGGCTGATTTTATTATCTCCACATACTGTAACATATCTCTGTTCAGTAGTTAAAATTTTGGGGTTTTTTTTGTTGTTTTATCTATAAACTAAATGGTAAACTTTAGCCAAAGAACCATACTATATTTTCTCTAGGGTATTTAATACAGCATTGATATTGTTACTAGTGTTGTTTACTTTTGTGTTTCTAGGTGGGCTGTGTTTACTTGGTGCATATGCTGACAGTGATGATGAAGAGAATGATGTTTCAGAAAAGCCAACACAATCTAAAGAGGCGAATGGAAATCAGTCAGCTGATATTGATAGTACATTGGCCAACTTCTTAGCGGTTAGTGATGATTTTGTTTGGGTTTTTTGGGTTTTGTTGTTGTTTAGGTAACACATATAGCACATAAGCTTAGAAACTAGTTTCTGTGGAATTTTAGTTATTTAAGCCACTTTGCAACCTGGGTTTCAAGTGGTACTTAATTCAGCTAGTTAATTGCTGTGTTTCCCTCTCCCTTTCTGCCTCTTCTCTTTTTGTAAAAGTGGTAAGGGGGTGAGGGGTGAATGAAGAATAGAAGCCTCAGGAACTTGTATAATTGGAAAATGAGAATTTTGATTTGAGAAAGTGATTGCCATTTCCTCAGTTTCTGGTTATGTTGTAATTAATGGATTTATTACTTTTTTTCATCATAAAGGAAATAGATGCTATAACAGCTCCTCAACCAGCAGCTCCTGTAGGAGCCTCTTCTGCCCCACCTCCAACTCCACCTCGACCAGAACCAAAGGAATCAACAGCTACCCTTTCTTCTGCCACCTCCAATGGAACAGACTCAACCCAGACAGCTGGGTGGCAGTATGATACTCAGTGTTCATTGGCAGGAGGTAAGCTTGCTCTTTGGAGGTTTTGTTTTGTAATCTAAGGAATCCTAAAGCGAAGTTCTTAAAGGTGTTCTAGACTTTGGAATTCCCAAAGATGAAAGAAGCCATACTTTAGAATTCAAACTTTTTAAGCAGTTTTTGATTATAGAGTAGTTATCACTAGGATTAGATTTTTATCTTTCAAAAAATAATTACTTATCATTTTAAGCAGTAGCAGATTATAGAGGGTAAATAATAATTTTTTTAAGGTTTTTTTTTTTTTTTTTTTGGACAAACTGGTTTTATTTTGTTAAGTTGTTAAAGATGATTTGAGAAGGAATGCCCCCAGGGGTTACTTATTCACATCTGAGCATTTTTGGTTGTCACGATAAGAGGTAAGGGTAGCAGATGTTAGTGTATCTAGTGAGTAGAGGCCAGGATGCAGCTAAACACTACATGGGACTGCTCTATCCTGCCCAGTACTAATGGTACCCAAATTTGAGAAACCCTATGTTAGATTCCCCCTCCCTCCAAAATTTGTTTTATTTACTTATGCATACAAGAGCAGGGTTATGTAGGCCAGAGGTGGGGTTTGGGGAGTGAGGAGATTCGTGACAGTGGGGAGCAGAACAGATGGATTTACTGAAACACACTACTGAGGGGAGAAGCGAGTGAGGCAGGAGAGGTCTTTGTACTATGTGGATCAGCTCCCTGGTGGGGGATCAAACTCAGTAGCTTCATAGGCTGAGACTTAACCCCTTGCACCACCAGGGAGGCCCTGTTACAACTTTAGATCTGACTTGGGGTTTAAGACTGGAATGTGGAGGGAATACTTACTATATTTAGTAAGTATTTTTTAAAATACTTACTATTTTTTCTTCTAGTTGGAATTGAGATGGGAGATTGGCAAGAAGTCTGGGATGAGAACACAGGATGCTATTATTATTGGAACACACAAACAAATGAAGTGACTTGGGAGTTACCCCAGTATCTTGCCACCCAAGTACAAGGATTACAACATTATCAGCCCAGGTAAGAATAGACTTTAAAAATTATCTAGAAGGAAGTTGGAATGTTAACTTTAGCTGATAGTATTTACCTTTTGTTACTCTTGCTGAGTATATGTTTTTTAGTTCTGTAACAGGTGCTGAAGCTAATTTTGTGGTAAATGCAGACATGTATACCAAGGAGAAGAATATTTCTGCTTCCAGTAGTAAAAGTGGTCCTGTCATAGCCAAGCGAGAAGTTAAAAAGGTCAGGTTTACAGTTTATATCTTTTTTTTCCTTTAAAGATTTGTTTGTTTATGCTTACAGAACTGGGTTACAGGCCAGAGGTGTAGTGAGTAAAGATTCACCAGAGACAGAGTGGGGAGCAGAACAGGCAGATCTACTGAAATACACTGCTGAGGGGAGCGGTGGGCAAGACAGGAGAACTGTCTGCTGCAACATGTCTGGTAACTGCATGTCACAGTGGCTGGTGATCGCTTTGATAGTTCTGAGACTTTAATTCCTGCACCAGCAGGAAGGCCTCCTTGGCTTATTTTCAAGTATAAGTAACTTGAACATAATTCTGGTGTAGGTATAGATGCCTTCTGTTAATATTTCACAACACAGGTGTGAGATGTGACATGTTCTAAGTCTTTTTCCTTTCCTGCTTACTGCATAGCAGTAATTCAGATCAGTGGCTCTTTGGAGCTTTAAGGTGCCACGAGGGCTCCTGGTCACTGTGAAGGACATGGAAGCTGCCAAGCAGGCAGTACTTTAAGCATAGAATAGCTATGCTTCAGGATTCTACATCAGCTGTTCTTGTTTTGATCAAAGTATTAGCTACCTTAAAAATTAAATATTAATAGTGAAGCATGAACATTTTTATGGCTTCATCGAAAAGGAAAGTAAGTTGTATTTATTTATGCTTTTGAATTTAAGAACACTTTTAAAACAGTTCAATCTTTCAGCTCCAGGAGGGAGCTGGACTAAATTATCCCCGTGGAGAAAATGTGGCCCTTAAATATAATCATACATTGCATTTTAGAAATATTTCACTTTTCCTCCAAATTTCCTTCACTATAAAAAGTGTGATATTACTGCATGGTACAGAGAAGGAAAGTGTAGATTTATCTAGTCATGTGCTAGGCTAATAAAATTGATCTTATTTAAATCTGCCTCTGCTTCTTAATTGGGAGACTGGAGGAGGAGAGAGATGATGGACAAATCAAGTTCCACAAAAAAGGTTCTAGTTTAAATGCTGTTACTTCCTAAAGTAACAATACTTCCTTATTGCACAGATACAAGGAAGATAACAAACATATACTGGTCTGTTGAGTATGTTTGGTTTTTAAGCATATCCAGTGCCTGAAAAGACAGTCATTCTTAACCTGAACAAATCAGTATATCTTAAGATGAGATTTCTCAGGGAATTGAGTCGTGTATGTTTTTCTTTATAGGAAGTAAATGAAGGCATTCAGGCCCTCTCAAATAGTGAGGAGGAAAAGAAAGGGGTGGCAGCTTCACTGCTTGCTCCTTTATTGCCTGAGGGAATAAAAGAGGAAGAAGAGCGATGGCGGAGAAAAGTTATTTGTAAAGAAGAGCCAGTTTCAGAAGTGAAAGAAACAAGTACAAATATCGAAGAAGCAGCAACAATAGTAAAGCCACAGGAAGTTGTATTGGACAATATGGAGGACCCTTCGCAGGAGGATCTTTGCAGTGTTGTTCAGTCTGGAGAAAGTGAAGAGGAAGAAGAACAAGACACCCTTGAGCTGGAGCTAGTTTTGGAAAGGAAAAAAGTGAGGGTTGTTTTTGTTTTGTTTTGCTTTAAGATTTATTTTACTTATTTTTGCATACAAGAGCTAGGGTGTAGATCATAGGGATTGGGTTGGGGTGGCAGAGGATTCACCAGAGATGGAGTGGGGGGCAGAACAGGTGGATCTACCGAAATGCTGAGGGGAGCAGGGGCAAACACTAGAAGTCTGCTGAGCATTATGGGTCAGCTCCCTGGCTGGGGTTGGAACTTGTGCTACAGTGGCTGCCAGTAGCTTCATAGTGCTGAGACTTAACCCCTCCCTTGCGCTACCAGGGAGGCCTAAAAGTAAGTTTTTAAAGTTTGAATTAAAAGTGTATGCTTACCATCTTTTTACTGTCGTACTTTGGGATCATTGTGATCAGTTTAGTCATTTTTTAATTTTGATATTCTTGTTTCATCTAGATAACTTAGTTTTTTTATGTGTGCAAGAACTGGGGAGGGGGGTGAGAGAATTCACCAGAAAGAATGGGTAGCAGAACAGACAGATCAAGTGAAATACACTACTGATGGGAGCAGCGGCAAGACAGGAGGGGTCTGCACCATGTCTGTCCAAGGCTCGGATCTGTGCACAGTGGCTGCCAGCACCTCCACAGGGCTGTGCTTTAACCTGTTGCACCACCAGGGAGGGCCCTAGATAACATTTTTAAACTAATGTGATAATTACAGAAAGGTAGTTATTTTGGTTCCTACCATTGTGTAAAAGTTTGTCTATTTGGTGAATCTCTTAGGCACACCCTTCAAATGGATATTTGTTGACTATAGTCATGAGTAAGTATTAATTCTGTAGTTATAGAATATGATGCATAATGCTCATATCTGATGGGAGAAAATGTGTTAAATACTTTCCTCTAAGGGTTTTAATTCCAAGAACACACAGTTGTCATTCTTGTTATTCACGAACACTTGCTAAGCAATTATAGACACTAACGTTATTGTGTTTTTTGTAGGCAGAGTTGCGAGCTTTGGAAGAAGGAGATGGTAGTGTGTCAGGGTCAAGTCCATGTTCTGATATCAGCCAGCCAGCATCTCAGGATGGAATGCGTAGACTTATGTCTAAAAGAGGAAAATGGAAGATGTTTGTTCGAGCTACCAGTCCAGAATCCACCAGCCGAAGTTCTAGCAAAACTGGACGAGAGACTCCAGAAAATGGAGAAGCTGGTAATTTTGTGCTTCCATTAAACTTTAGAGTTGAAGATAATGAGAAGAATACTTAGTAATTACCTTGATGTGTATACATTATTGTGAATTTTCCTTTGCTCTATTTGCATTTGGTTAGCACGGAAGGCAAAGACCACCTCTTGCAAAAGACCACCCCATTTTTTCTGTTTCTGTACACATTGCCCAGCCTCTAGTTGAGTGTGTGGTTTGGTTAGGGTTAGTAAAGATTTCTGCTAGTATATTGCCATGTTAGAATGTATGTGCATTTTAATTTGAGCTCTTCATCAAGAGTTAACCAGTCAAGAAAAGAAATAAAGAAAATTTATTTATATATACAGAACTGGGGTAGAGGCCAGAGGTGCAGGGGTGGTGAGAGAAAAAGTGGGTAGTGGTTTTTTTTGTTGTTGTTTGGTTTTTTTTGCACTTTTTATCTGGCCTCTTCACAACAGAATGATTTACATTTTTTTAATGTGAATTAGTTTAGTAAGACACATGTTAAGCAGACATAATGAGAGTGCATGTTTTTTGCTTCCATTAATATAGATGGTAAACTTGCTCTCTTGGCAATTCATTCCACCACCAGACATCAGCACCAACTAGAATAGTAGGTGAATCCAGTATAAGTTGTCTAAAGGTCTTAAATAGTCAAAGAGGGAAGTTATTAGATAGCTTTTAACTAATGCTGCTCGGATTTTGAAAGCCTTTATTTCTTTCATAACACCATTGATTAAAGAACCCTTGTATGTCCTAGTATTTAGCTTCTGTAAATAATTGAAGCAATTGTGTTCTGGAAGAGATTAAAAAAGATAAAAGGGGTAAGAGAAAGCAGGAGCTACATGGTAATGTGGTACAAATAAGGTTTCTGGGAAATTTTGTAGACATTTTTAAAGGCTGTTATAAAGGACAAAGTTCTCTCAGTACAAATGGTTGACAAATCACTAAGGCTTTTAACAAGTAAGGAAAATTCAGGCAAAGAATAGTCTTTGCCAGATGTATCTGCTACAGGGGTGAGAAATGCATATGATATCAGTATCAGTTCTTTTATTGATTTGTTTTTATGATTTTATTTAATTAAGCATACAAGGACTGGGGTACAGGCCGGGGGTGGGGGGTAGGGAGAGAGGATTCACCAAAGACAGCGTGGGGAGCAGAACTTGTGTTGCAGTTGGTTCCAAATAGCTTCATAGTGCTGCACGTTTTAACCCCTTGCAACAGGAAGGGCCTTCAACATCAGTTCTTTTCATTTTATGTTTTCTTTTGTAGCAACTGGTGCTGAAAGTTCAGAAAAAGTAGATGAGAATTCAGACAAAGAGATGGAAATAGAAGAATCTCCAGAGAAGACAAAAGTACAAACAGCACCTAAAGTAGAAGAACAACAAGACTTGAAAGTATGAATGTTGTTATAACTTTTTTTTTATAATAGTTTATTTTTACATCATTTTGTGCCTTTTTCCGTCTCAGTTGTAATCCCATGGGCTTCCTACCACTAATTCACCTGTGTGCCATCACTATAGTCTAGTCACTTCCCTATCTCCCTACCCTCCCCCTCCCATTTTTGATCCCATTCCCCACTCCACCCCTGGTATATAGTTGTATAACTTGACATTTTTATACCAGCTAACCTATCTCCTCTATTAGCATGTAGTAAAAATAATCTTTACTGTCTCTACCTATAAGTAATTTACTTGCTTAGGTGAGAGTCATATTTAGGAATGAAATAAGGAATTATGAGATTGACTAGATATAGAGAAAGTATCAGATTCTAGCTGCCAAAAGTATTTTTTATTTTATTAGTTTTGGTAGAAGAACTAGGGTTATTTTCTATAAGTTAAGCCTCCATTGAAAAGCAGTAGCTTATCAAATACTCTAGTTTGGAAGCACTAAGGAAGCTAAAAGTCACAAATTTAGTTCTTGCATGAACTACTTACTCTTGCACAAAAGCAGATTAGTTCCAGCTTTCTAACTTAATCTCATGAGAGTGGATCAAGTAAGCATGACTGTTAAAAATAGTCTGTTGCAAAAACTTTCAGCATATTCTTTTGATTTGCTTTTATTTAATTACTACCTAGTATACAACCATGTGGAAAGGACTCGGAAGTTTAATTTCATTTTAGGCGTCAGTATGTGTAGGCACTTAGTAATTGGTAACTGATAGTTTGGACTGTATTTGGAGCTGTTAGGGTATGAGTAAAAATATATTTAATATCTAAATATTTTATTATTCATTGTATAAATTGGTTGACTAAATTAGCATTTTGTCTTCTGTGTAATTGTTCAAGAAAGACTGCTTCATCTTTGTAGTTTTCTAGTATCTTAAAATGATTTTATGTAACAGAAAACATTTGCTGATTTTATTTTTACCCTTATTTTTATTATCTGCATTAGTTTCAGATTGGAGAACTGGCAAATACCCTGACAAGTAAATTTGAATTCCTAGGAATTAATAGACAGTCCATCTCCAACTTTCACATGCTGCTCTTACAGACTGAGGTAATTTAGTCATTTTTAGTATAAACAGGTAGTGTTTGAGTGCAAATGTGTAAGGTCTCCGTTTTTTTTGTTGTTGTTGTTGTTTTTAAGATTGTGTGTGCATGCAAGGAGAGTGAGAGGATTCACCAGAGACATAGAGGGGAGCAGGACAGACAGACCTCCTAAAATAATACTACTAAGGGGAGCAGGCAGCAAAACAGGAGAGGTGTACTGCTCCATATGTGGGCTAGTTCCCTGGCTGGGAATTGACCTCAGCCGTCACTGTGATAGCACTGAAGCTTAACCATAGGCCACCAGTGAGGCCCGAGGGCTCTGCCTTACATTTTAATCTTAAATTTAAATAAAAATATATACTAGCCAAAGTGAAGTATGAATGTGAAGGTGTGTATAATGAGACTTAAGAGTTGGTTTTAATATACATTTATTTCTAATAAATTCTTAATTACAAGGGTCAAATGGAGCATATGATGAAAGTTTTAAAAGTTAATATTTAATGTTTTACTTTATAAGTATTATAAATCATTTAAAAGGGGAGTTCTGATTCAGTTTGTAACCTGCGTACTTTACAAAATGGCAGAGCAGGATTAGCAAAGAACTTCTATGGAACGGTGATTGGTTTCCTTAAGGAAACTGTCCAAGCTATTTGTTTGGCTAGTAACATTATTGAACTGAAAGAACTGACATGATAAGTCTTTAACTTTATTGTCTGTTTATTCTAGACTCGGATTGCAGACTGGCGGGAAGGGGCTCTTAATGGGAACTACCTTAAACGAAAACTTCAGGATGCAGCAGAACAACTAAAACAGTATGAAATAAACGCCACTCCTAAAGGCTGGTCCTGCCACTGGGACAGGTACGCACTCTTCTCCCCTTTTCACCTTTCACCTTTGACATCTCAGACATGATTTGTGATCACCACCATCTGACGACATGACAGCCTGGAGACTGAGAGCAGCTGCAGTTAGCGGTGCCGGGCAGGCAAAGCACCGCAGCACAGAGTTGTGCCAGCCACACGGAGAAACAAAAGCAATGTTTAAAGTGTTCCATGTAACGGATTTTTTCCCAAGATTGGACAAAGCTGGTTTACTCTCCAGAGTGTTGCACGGAGTAGGGCGGGCTTGGGGGTTAAGCGCATGCGAGAGCTCTGTGCGCTTTACAGGACCTCTGGAAGCAACTACTCCTGATTAACCTCGGTGAAGTTAAAGAAAAGCTTCGTGGCTGAAGATGTGAATGAAGAACAAGATTACTATCTTCTGCCAGCAGGTCAGATGAAAACATTTCTTTTTATATTTGGCTTTTCTTGATTTTTTTTTTCGTTATTTGAAATCTTTGCTCTTTTATTTTTCAGCTCCCAGATCCTCTCCCTCTCTTTAGCTTTCACTGTGTTTGATATCAAGAGTATGAAATGTGAATTCCACGGTCCAAGAGGGGAAGAGTCACCTTTCGCAAACTTCGTTGTTCTCTTCTTTGGAAGGGAAATTAGTGTTCTAGGAGTTTGAGTCCCTTCGTTAATGAACCTTGAAACCCTTTTAAGCATTGGCAAAAAAAAAAAGAGAGAGAGATGTGAGAGGTGTTTTCTAAATCATCTGTTGGAGAGGGCTCAGGGCTGTATTCACAGAGCTGCTGGCAGTGCAAATAGCTTTGAATTATGCTTGGTTCTCGTCCTCAATTGTCAAAGCTCTTTGTTGCCTTTGTGAATAGCAGTCCATTAAGAAGAGGTTCGTCCCTGTGAGAGCAGACTGCTGTCCTGGGACAGGACCAAATGAAAGTGTCTTTGTAGGAGAATGGTTCTTAAAACATGTGTTTTCTTTCTTGTAATTTAGGGATCATAGACGATATTTCTATGTAAACGAGCAGTCGGGCGAGTCTCAGTGGGAGTTCCCAGATGGTGAGGAGGAGGAAGAAGAAAGCCAAGCGAAAGAAAGTAGAGATGAAACTCATCCTAAACAGAACTTGAAGGACAAAACTGGCACTGACTCAAATTCTACAGAATCTTCTGAGAACTCTACAGGTAAGGTAATTTATCCTGTACTAATGGGGATGAAATGATTTGAGAGAAGAAAAAACACAACATTCTGCTATCATAAATGAAGGCAACTCATGTCATCCTGAGATAGGTTTCTTGTTTAAAAATAGTGGCTTGACCTTAAAAAAATAAGTAGGAGTTACAATGATAAGAACCAAGTCACTGGTTAGAAATCGACCTACAATTAATAGCTGACCTTCAAGGTCTGTTTAGGAAGAGTCTCATCTCTACTTTCTTTTGCTTGGTTTTCTTCAGCTAAAAATAGTAATGGTGAGGTATGACATACTTTGATCTTAAAATTTTTCATTAACAGCAAAACACTAGTTAACATTAAATGCAGGTTGAATTGTTTAATGTCTAAGTGGAGTGACAATATGAAATGTTATGTGTGTTTCTGCAGACCAGTTAGTCTGTTAATAAGGCATTATTTTTCAACTCTCCTTGTTAGAAGTATGCTTGTTATGAATCAAATGTGATCTGAAGAAATTCTGTGAAACTAGGATCATACTTGTTTCAGAGAAGCAAAGTAATTCATTGAAAATCAGTCACATTCTAGTATAAGGTTCTCTGGGATATCTTCAATTTAGTTCTGTATATATTTTTCAAAAGGCCTTCATAGTTCCTCAGTTCTTTTGAGGATCTGATAGCTTTTGCAAGGAGCCACAGCCTAATTTCCACGTTATGGAAGAAGATGGATAATTTTCCCTTTAAATCCATCCTTCTTGAAATGACAAACATTACAAAGGGTAGTCATGATATGATGGTTGACCTTTTTGATTTAAAAGCTAGTAACTTAAAATGATAGCATATGAAGGCAAGGGTCTATGGAGTGATTTCTAAAGTAATAAACTTTTGACAATGAAAAGATTCTAACAAGGACTAAAGAGCTGAATTCTTTGCTTATCAAAGATAATTTTCATGCTCACATCACCAGCACATATACTAAAATTGCAATGACACAGAGAAGGGCATGGCCCCTGCACAAGGATATCATGCAAATTTGTGAAACAGTCCATAATTGAAAAAATGTTCTGTGCTCATTCTGGCTCCTTAATCCCGGTAGAAAAGTGCTGATAATCTGCCTAATGAAACTAGTTATGTACTAAATGATTTTATCAACTTCTTCAGATGCCTAAGACTCTTAAATCACTCTGAAACCCAATAAGACTGCAGTGATACTTTTAGAACATAGCAATCCTAGTTTTTATTGTACTTCATATTTCAGAAGTGTTTCCTCTTCGGGTAGAGGGTATTTTACTTATCATTTTCATGAAAATTTTCTTTTGATTACTTTCCCATTCTTTTGGTAGCAATGATATGTCTAATAAGTTGGTTTTATTGTTTTTTTTTTTTTGCTTTTTAGTAGTTAGTGAACTGAAGAGGCTTGATGGTGGTTCTGGGTAGGTGATTCCTGACCACTGTCTAATGTCCTTTTCTTGTATGTTCCAAGTCTGAATATTCTAGAATTTCCACCTCTAAGGGTTCTGTTAGAGTTATGTATTAAGTCATTTTCTCCCTTTGTTGGTGGCACACACAGAGTTGGAACTGTCTGGTAAAAGGAAGAGCTTGAGACATTCCTATCTGATTAAAACAAAATTATTTATGCTGTAGAAAAAAGCCTCTGATAAATCACCTTATAGTCTTAATCCCCTTTATTAAAAATCACATAAGCTTGATCAAAATAAATTTCTAATTTTGTACTATAAGGTTTTTGGGATTTAAGCGCAATACTAATCTGTTTAAGCCAATAAAGTTTATGTGCTCTTTGCTGAGCAGTGGTTATAAAACCATCCTTTAAAGAAAAAAAAGGTTACATTGGTGAGGCTCAAGGAAGTTCTATTCATTTTTATCATTGTTCATTGTTTGATTTAATGTCATGTCTAAATATAAATGACATATTAAAATATCCAGTTTGTCTGTCTTGTTAGACTTTTGTTACTTAGGTTGTATTTACTTTTTAAAAACATCTATGGAACAGTTATTTATATTACAAAATGTTTAAATGGCTAAACTGGTCCACTTAAAGTACTAAACAGAAATTTTACTGAAGTGGAATATAGAAAAACAGTAAAGGAAGCCTGCTGATGAAGTGAAGGTACATAGAAGAAAATTGTTCTTAAGGAATTTAAATTTACATCTGCATACTATTCTCTTTAAGCTTGTAGATTTTTGATCTACTAGCACATAATAATGTGCATACCATTTTAATCTCACTTTAGCCTCCAGAGGTAAATATTTCTCTTTAAATGGCAACATATTAACAATAGTGTTAAATATAAAAATGAAGAGACACATCATTGTAGTATGATATCCTTAGATATTCAGAAGAGAATTTATTGAAATTCTTTGTATTTAAGTTAAAAAATAAGATTATGTTATGATACAGCTATTATGTTTTGATTGAACATAATTTGGGATTCATAAATTTAAAAGTTTTCCTTGTTTGCTACTCAAGTTTATCTCATTTACACAGAACTTAATTCTGACTGGCCTACAAGTTGTAAACCATATCGGCCTTGAACCTACTGTGTTCTTAAGTTCCTACTACTTTCTTAAATTCCTTTGCATTTGGTAGCATGACACCATCATAGTATGCTTCTAGCTGAGAGCTCTATCAGTACATAAACTCTGACTTATTTTCCTACCTTAAATTGTGGTTAGTTTGGTAGAAGAAAATTTAGTGAGATACTAATCCTTCATTTTTATTACTTTAGGGTTCAGCTCATGTAATTTTGATGTACTATTATATAATGTTGGGGACTACTAGCTATCCATGGACTTTATCTAAGTCCATAAAATCATACCAGGTATAGCTTAAATACAAAAGTTTAACGAGACATTTGAAGTTTTTACCTAAAAAAAAATGTACTCCTATTTGATGATTTTTTTCAGTACCCTTTTCCGTAGCAAACAGCTTTTAAAAATATAACCATGTGAATCTTGTTCTTAAGTCTTTTACATCATGTATCATACATCTGTCCCATAAAAAGTAAAGCCATTATGAAAACCAAACAGTTCTTGGTTACTTCAGGCTTAAATTCATCGAGTTTATCTCATAAACTTGGAGTACCATAAGGTGAAGGCTTTATTGCCCCACAACCTCTTCCGCGCTTGACTGTGAAGATTGACAGGAGACTGCATCTGGAGATTACTTCATGAGAAGTGAGATTCATTTCACTGAGCTTTCGAAAGCTCTTGGACTCCTGATACCTCCGAAGACATCTTGATAAAGTAGAAAGCATTAGACTAGACCTGACCAGGAGAAACTGATGGTCTTGGGCAAGTCATTTCCCTCCTGGGTTTCATTGCCTTTAAAATGAGGATTGAACCTAGATAATTTCTCATGTCTCTTCTACTCCTAAATTCTATGATTTTAGGGAGAAAATCCCCTTCAACATTCCTGGGATATATATCTAATAGTCCCATATATTGTGAAACTTCCCTATTGACGATAAAGAGGGATGGGGAAGGCTACAAGTAAGTATATCCTCCTGTTTTTTTCTAACCTTTAAAGCTTTTCCCAGCAAAGAAAGGATAGTGGTTAAATATTTTTGTAGAATCTCAGGAAAGCTGATCCCATAGCTTTCTGGCTGTCATTTCTTAACTAAGACTTTCAACAGCAAGTTCACATCCTCTGCATCTTCAAACACCTCTTTTGTGTTTGCCTTAGTTATCATTTGCCTTGAAGATTTACTCTTAGTTTTCCCTATTCTCATCAGAAAAGTAAAGAATAAACCCTCTGATTTTTGTTAGTGACATAGCAAATGAATTTACTTCACTTAAAGATGTGAAGGAATGAATGATAGGCTTAGCAGTACCTGGCAAATGTAATTTTTTAGTTAGTCACCCAAATTAATGAAATGGGTAGAATTTGTGAGTGGGTTCCATGGTACTTACTGGGGTACCCCCAATCACTTACATAACTCACTAAAAGTAAAATGCATGGAATCTCTTGCAAAAGTACATCATTCACTCACTGCTTCACTTTTGAAATAAAAATGACCCTAGAGTGTTGCCTTCTAGTTGTGTCCAGAGACACAGTATTGAAACTGTGAATGTTTGAATAAAAACTACAGATTCAGATAACTAAATTTCTCACTGAGTTAATGTGCATCATTTACTCACCCATAAATCTGGGCCCCAAGTGTTAAGACTCTAGTATAACACAACTGGGGCAAATGTGAACTGCAAGTTCTTAAGTTTCACTCTTCTTTGGAAATCATTTCTGAACTGAATTGTTTTATATTTCAGTGACATCATTGTAGAGTAGATGCCTGTATGTCAAATTTTGTCTCATCAGTCAGTTAACATTTCTGTCAATCTAAGCCATAGAATTTTTGTCTTGCTTTTTTTCTGACTCCTGTTTGTTTTCATAGGTTCTCTTTGTAAAGAGTCCTTCACTGGCCAAGTTTCCTCTTCATCACTCATGCCACTTACTCCATTCTGGACTCTCCTTCAGTCAAATGTGCCTGTGCTTCAACCTCCATTACCTTTGGAGATGCCTCCACCCCCCCCTCCACCCCCAGAATCCCCTCCTCCTCCTCCACCACCACCGCCGCCACCTCCTGTAGAAGATGGTGAGATCCAGGAGGTAGAGATGGAGGATGAGGGAAGTGAGGAGCCTCCTGCCCCGGGAACAGAGGAGGATACTCCATTGAAACCTTCAGCACAAACTACAGTTGTAGCTAGCCAGGTAAGAAATGCCTTTTGGTATTCTGAAGAATTGAGATATGATTGATAGGTTTTATTTTAGAAAAGGATGTTGTACCCAAACCTTTCGGTACTAACTAGTTTATTTGTGTTTCAGAGTCCAGCTGATTCGGCTGTCTTTAGTTCTTCTACTAAAGCAATAAAAAGAAAAGCTACAGAAATTAGTACTGCAGTAGTTCAGAGATCAGCTACCATTGGTAGTTCTCCAGTCCTCTACAGCCAGTCAGCGATAACTACAGGTAAGTATCATAATCATGATTACCGTGTTTTCCTCAGTGTATGATTTGTTTTCAGAATTCAATATTTTAAGTTGAAGAAATGTTAAATGTTTTATTTGCAAAGATTTTAAATTTTTCTTTTAGTTGCCAACAAATCACTTCAGTTTTGCATTTATCCTTCCTAATTGTTTTCTGTGCATTCACGTATATCAGAGGTTTTGATAATAGATACTATCACTAAACTATTTAAAATCACAATGTTTTGTTTCTAAGAAATAAAGGTATATTGGAATTATTTTGTAGGTGATCTAACTCCCAGTTCCCCTTTTCCGCCTTTCCTTGATTTTGGCTTTGTCAATGTCTTTTTACAGTTTTACAGTATGTTTTCTGTGTTAGGTCACCAGACAACAGGGCTCGGTCATGGGGCTGCAGGAATTGGGCACCAGACAATATCAGTCAGTCATCCAGCAACAGGAATGGGCCACCAAGCCAGAGGACTGAGCCTGCAGTCAAATTACCTAGGACTGGCATCAGCAGCACCTGCAATTATGAGTTATACTGAATGTTCTGTCCCAATTGGAGTAACTGCTGCCACACTGCAGCCAGTCCAGGCCCGAGGTGCTGTGCCTAGCACTGCCATTATAGAACCGCCTCCGCCTCCGCCTCCCCCTCCTCCACCACCGCCACCACCAGCTCCGAAAGTGCCACCCCCTGAGAAAACAAAGAAAGGAAAGAAAGATAAGGTACGGTAAAACTCTTTAAAGTTTATTTAAATAGAAAACTTCATTTACGTAAAATCAGCTCTTAAAGTGTATGTCTTAGTGCATTCACAATATTGTACAGTTATCACCTCTAGTTCTATAACATTTTGGTCACCCCAAAAGAAAATCTACTACTCGTTCTGGGAAGCACCAAACATACTGTCTACCTCCTCCATGTCTTCTTTACTTTGTAGCAGATTGGTTCACAATTAAATGTTTGAACAGCCATTGCTCAGGAATAATTTATTTTATACACCCTCCTTCAGGAAAGGAGGGTAATACAAAGATCATAAAGAAACAGGAAAATGTAGTTCATTCAAAGGAATAAATCCCAAGAAACACCAGAAAAAAGCAAAAGATTTTAAAGGCAATTGTCTTACAGGTACTCAGAGAGCTGAAGGAAAACAGGCAGAGAGCTGAAAGAAATTAGGAAAATAACAAAGTAAAACTTTTTTTTTTTTTTTTTTTTTAAAGGAAAGGGCTATCTGGAGCTGGGGGGGGGGAACACATCTGAATTGAAAAATTCATTAGTTCAACAGTAGACTAGTAGGGAAGACAAAAAGGATATTATTTCAGTGACGCCTCCCTTGACACTCTTTCCCACTCTGCCATCCCAGCACTCCAAGAGAGGTAATTTCTCTTTTTATTATTATTTTTTACATCATTCTTCACTTTGTGCTTTTTATCATCTTAGTTGTAACCCCGTGGCCATCCCACCACCAATTCACTCGTGCCATCGCCATAATTATATACCCTTCCCACACGGTTTTTTCCCTGATCCCTTACACGCCTGCTACAAATGAAATCATCCAGTACTCTTTCTGGCTTTACTAAGCATGATCCCTTACAGCTCGATCCATGTTGCTGCAGAAGCCATGAGTTTTATCTTTTTTGAAGGAGAGGTGATTTCTTCCTCCACTTTGAGCAAGTTTTTTTGTTTTTTGTTTTTTTTAAAGATTTATTTCTTTGTGCATATAGAACTGCAGTAAAGGCCAGAGGTGCAGGGGTGGTGAGAGGATTCACCAGAGACAGAGTGGGCAGCAGAATAGGCAGATCGACGAAGTACACTGCTGAAGGGAGAAGTTGGCAGGCCAGGAGAGGTCTGCCGTGCCATGTGGTCACCTCTGGGGTGAGCAGGTTCAAACTCACGCAGAAGTGGCTTTAGCTTCTCAGTGCTGCACTTTAACCCGCTGCACCACCAGGGAGGGCCCCCAGCAAGTAATTTTTTAATCCAGTCATGCTTTTATGGTTTTAGTGGTTTTGAAATTCCAGAATGCTATTAAATTTTGTATCATTGTTTAATGACTGCTCAGGTATAACCCCCATAGAATTCCCACCTCCCAATCACTCTTGTTGTGCTCTTCCCTCCCCTATTTTGATGCCTATCTTTCTCCACCCGTGTGTCTCAGATTTGTAGTTTGCTTGCTGCTTTGTCTTTTTTTTAATCCACCACTTTGTTCAGTTTCCCTATTCTGTTTTTTTTTTTTTAATCAGGTTTTGTTGTTTTTTTTTTTTTTTTTTTTTTAAGTGAGACATTCTTAACTATTGTGAGCTGGGATCTCAGGGTTTTGATTTGCAGTTCCCTGACTATAAGTTCTGTTACGCATTTTTTGTATGCCTGTTTTGGTCATCTGGATTTCTGATTTGGAGACGTGTCTATTTATCAGGCTTTTTCCATAGATGGGTAGAATTTAGTAGTGAATCATACAAAATCTTTGCTACTGGAGAGCTTTTCTTTTGGGGTTGGAGAGACAGAAAAGCAAGAAAATAAGCAGTATAAGAGGACAGAAAGGCGTCCTCTTTGGTAGGTGATGCTATTTCAGAAAGGGTAATCAGTAAGGCCTTTTTTGTTAGAGTGCCTTAGATTGAAAAGAAGCCCGAAGGCAATGATGGACAAGCCATGTTGAATATGTAACTTTTTACTACTATATTATAATCTATAGATAGTGAGGGTAAGTGAAAAGGGTTGGGGTATATTGTTATACATAATTACATCATTAGTGTTTTGATATATCTGTGCTTCTTTTATATTTAATAGTAGCCATTGAATTTCTCTTTCCAGAAAAGCTGGTCTTTCATTTCTCAGCTCTGTTTATCACTTGATACAAACACTGCATCTATTTAAAGTATGAAAAGGGGAATACAAATTCTGAGATAAGGGTAACAATTTTGGATTCCATAGATTAAGAAAACCAGAGGAAATTTTTCTGACCAAACTTTGTAAATATTACCTTTATAGTTTTTAATTTAAGGAGTAGGTTTATTGTTGGTAAAATTTCTAGCAAGAAGTTAGAGTGTCATTTTCTTTTTGTGTTTCTGTCCTTTGGATCATAAAGTCCACTTATTCCTTAGTATGAGGAAAAGATCCTGATCTTATGTGAAGAACTAATTCCTTATTTTTCATTTATTTATTTTTTGATTTATGTGTATAAATACTAGGGTATAGTGCAGGTGTATATAGAGTGAGAGGATTCATCAGAGACAGAGTGGGGAGCAGAACAGGCAGATGTACTGAAATACACTGCCAAAGAGAGTAGTAGGTGGGACTGGCTTTGTGGAGTGGTCTGCTGTGCTGTGTGAGTCAGCTCCTGGGCTGGGATCTAACTAAGGTTGCGGTGACTGGCATTAGTTTGACATCAATGTCACCTCCCTTTTTTGTTTTGTCTGCAGAACTGGGGTGTAGGCCAGGGGTAGGAAGTGAAAGGATTCACCAGAGACAGGGTGGGGAGCAGCAGAGGAGGCAAATTGACTGAAAAAAACTGCTAAGGAGAGCAGCTGGCAAAACGGGAGAGATCTGCTACACCATATGTGTGTTAGCTCCCTGTCCAGGGATTGAACTCAGGCCATAAGGATGATAGCACTGAGACTTAACCCCTCTGACACCAGGGAGGCCCTGTAATCTATTTTTTCTGACCTTTAACCTTTGTTACAGACAAAGAAGAGTAAAACCAAAATGCCCTCTCTGGTAAAGAAGTGGCAGAGTATCCAGCGTGAGTTAGATGAAGAGGAAAACTCTAGCTCTAGTGAAGAAGATAGGGAATCAACTGCCCAGAAGCGAATTGAAGAGTGGAAACAACAGCAGCTTGTCAGGTAAAAGAAAAGATACCATGGATGGGGGGACTGGGTTGTGGTTGTTAATATTAAAATCACATACCTTAATTTTTGCTATACTTTATAATCTTATCTAAACCAGCTTATAATTCATAAATACGATGTTTATATCCCTATAAAGTTCACAGTGTAGACTTTTTTCAAAAATGAGAAATATCACAGTTGTAATACTTTATTTCCCTATAGGTAAAGTAACATGTTAATCCCCAGCTTACCTAGAAAAATAGTTTACCATTTAGAACCAATAGACTTTTGTGTTTTGTTTTGTTTTGTTGTTGTATTTATTTATGCATGCAAGAACTTGTACCTAGGCCAGAGATGCAAGGAGTGAGAGAATTCACCAAAGACAGAGTGGGGAGCAGAACAGGCAGATGTACTGAAAAACACTGCAGAGGGGAGCAGCAGGGAGATGAGAGAGGTCGGCCATGTAATGTGAGTCAGCTCCCTGGCTGGGGATCGAACTCATGCTGCAGTGGCTGCAGTTGCTTCATAGTGCTGTGCTTTAACCCCTTGTGCCACCAGGGAGGGCCCAAGTCCCATTCTTTGAATGTGAACTAGTATTTGTCACTAGTACCCTGGAGCATACTCACAAGTAGTGATGCCAAATTTCAAATTCATACCCGATTGCTTCTAACTTATTACTTTTGAATCTTAAATTTGTAACATCAATAAATGCATAGTACTTATGGAAAACATTGGGAAAGGATAGCCACCTTTGTTTCATAATTTGGAAGTTTTATTTTTAGATGTAAACAAGTTGGAATGGTTATTCCAGTGCATATTTTTATTTGTAGAATATTTATTTCTCTAATTACTATCTATCTATTTTTCAGCATTTGTTCACTTATGAACCTAACAAGTAGTTAGCAGATAGCATAAAACCTAAAGGATTGGGCCCTCCCTGGTGGCGCAGTGGATTAAAGCACAGTACTATGAAGCTATTGCAGCCACTGCAGAAGGAGTTTGATCCTCGCCAGGAAGGTGACCCACGTGGCATGGCAGACCTCTTGTGGCCTGCCTGTTCTGCTTCCCACTCTGTCTCTGGTGAATACTCTTCACCCACTATACCTCTGGCCTGTACCCCAATTCTGTATGCATAGGTAAATGAGTCTTTTTTAAAAAAAAAATAAAGTCTAAAGGATTATGAGCACCAGTCTTTCTAGGAAAATTTGGTAGTCTAGGTTCTTACTGCAAAGTATTAAAAGGTATTCCCCCCTTTTTTTTTGCCTTTGTTATTGTATCTCTCTCTCTACAACTCCATGAGACATCAGCACTTACAAATAGTTAGAACTGGTCAAAAGAGAAAATCAGAAATATTAGGCTTGAAGGCCCCAGTCAGTTGTTATTATTGAAGGTTTTGTGTCTTCCTTAGGAAACATAACATTTTTTTTTAATAATACAGTTTATTTTTACACCATTTTGTGCATTTTTCCATTTCAGTTGTAATCCCCGTGGGCTCCCCATCACCAAATCACCCATGTGCCATCACCATAGTCCAGTGCATTTCCCTCCCCTCACTGATCCCATTCCCCACTCATAAAATGTCTCTGGTATATGGCTGTTCATTATCATTATTATTTTCTACCTGGTCCTTTATACTCCTGCTATTTTCCCTTTTCTTTTTGGTTTATTTCACTAAGCATGATCTTCTCCAGCTTCATCCATGTTGCTGCAAAAGGCATTTGTTTAATTTTTTGGGTTGCTGAGTAATATTCCACTGTGTATATGTACCACATCTTTTTAATCCAGTCATCCACTTTTGGGCCTTTGGGTTGTTTCCATGTCTTTTCAATTGTAAATAAAGCAGCAAACATGAGGTTGCAGGTGTCTTTTTGAATCTCTGTTTTTGTGTCTTTTATACCTAAGAGTGGGATTGCTGGATCATATGGAAGCTTCATGTTTAGCAGTTTGAGGACCTCCAAACAGTTAAGAAACATGACTTTTAGAACTTAAAAATAACTTACAAGAACATGTTTGATACCTTCAGTCTGACTTTAATGGTTGCTAGAGGTCCTAGTAAATATCCATTAATATAGCCATAAAGCTAGAGAAGAGTGGCTAAATGCCACTTCAAATTAAGAAATTTAAAGAGGGCCCTCCCTAGTGGCGCAGTGGGTTAAAGCACAGCACTGTGAAGCCACCGTAGTCACTGTAACACAAGTTCCCCCAGCCAGGGTCACCGCATGGCTGACCCACCTATTTTGCCCCCACTCTGTCTCTGTGGATCCTCTCACCACCACCTTCCGCCCCCACACCTCTGGCCTATATCCCATTTCTGTCTGTATAAATGAATGAATCTTTCTCTCTCTCTCTCTCTTTCTTTTTTTTTTTTTAAAGAATATACTGGTAATTTGCTGAGAAATGTGATACATTTTCATGAACATAAAGGTGCTGGATCTAATTTTGAGTTACAGCTAGAGGTTCATTCCAATATCTGTATGTTTTTGCAGTGGCATGGCAGAGAGGAATGCTAATTTTGAAGCTCTTCCTGAGGATTGGCGAGCAAGACTGAAGAGAAGGAAAATGACTCCAAACACATAGTTTAAAAAGAAAGAAAATTATTGATTTTGTTCAGTTTAAAGTCTTAACCAGTTTTACTGTTGTCAATAAACTAAATGTTGTGAGGAGAGCATATGAATTTCCTGATAAAAGCATACACATACAGAATTTTCACATTTGTGAGATAAAATTTTTCTGTTTTGCTGAAGGGGTGAGGTGATTAAATACTTTGACCTGACTGCCTTTATTCTCACATTGGCAAGCAAGCATGTTAGGTACTTTAAACTCAGCAGTCTGGAACATGTGACACCTCTGTAGGAGACTCACAAAAAGTGAAGGATTTTCCTGCCTAATAGAAGCTAATTTAGTTCCTAATATGACCCTGTCATTAACTACTGCTCCAGAACAAGTGCAATTAAGAAGGCAGCTCTGTATTTTACCTTGCTTAACTAGGATATAAGGATCTCTTTTTGACCTCTTCCTTAGTGTGTCACCCCTGAAGTGCTGAGGTATGTCAAGTTGTACCTAGTGCTGATGGAGAGCCACATTCTGTATTCTTTCTGGAAGATTCTACAACTCATAGCTCTGCATTTTACACACTGGGTGACATATTTAAATTTCAGTACAGGCAGCAGCAGGTTTTCATGTCTCTGAGCATATTCCCCTCAGTAAATGTGACAATAGCCACTGTGTAGTAGTATGTCTACATTGTCTTACCCTATTCCAAAATTCAATTCCCATTTATATATGAATGTATCCTCCATGTAATTCCATATTTAAAAATTGGAGTTTACTTTCTGTTCTTTCTATTGTATCACAATCAGGTAAAAGTCACTTTAAACTGAAGAAAAAGCAAATTGTGTTTTAAAGCTGTTTGTATTTCTCCAGTTTCTGACCATGTAAATTTGTATATATGCACTAATAAAGCTTTTTTTATACTTCTGATTATCCTTTTGCTTTTTATACATGTTATTATGGGATTATATAACAAATACTTGGTTTCAAATCTATTTGTAATTGTTCTTTCTGATCAAATACGGTATGGTGTTGGATAATGCAGAGTAGCTCTGAAAAAAGAGTAGCAGGATTGGGGGAGAGGTACTAAAAAAATAGGATCCTGGCACCAGAGTGTTGTGTGACTTGTACTCAGAATGTTAGCCAGTGTTTGACCTGCTTAAGTCCTGGGAAAGATGTGGTTAATTTTTCGAAGAAAATTTAGGTGCCTTGTAGTTTTCCCCTAGATTATAAAAATAGTTTTATTCATATAAAGTTAACCACAGAAGTTGTATTTTAACCTATTCCTTTCCATGTGTCCTGTATTGAATTATTTCACTGTTACCTGTATTGGGATGACACTTCTGTTTTTTTTTGTTTGTTTTGTTTTTTTCAGACAGTAAATCTGGAAATAGACTATGAATTAACCACTAAATTTTTGCTTTAGCCATCTGTTTTCCAGACTTGTAGGAATCCCTTTAGAGCAACAGTGCCTTCATCAGTGTCCTACCAGAATGAGCATTTTTTGAAATCTGTCAGTTTGATTGTATGTTTTGGGTTTTTTTTTTAAGGGTTTTATTTATGCGTACATAGATGACATGTTGTGAAAGCCAAAGTGGGGGCGGGGGTATATGAAAGGACTCACCACAGTGGTGGAGAGCAGAGGGTGAAGCAGAAGCCTACTGTGCCTTATGGGTCAGCTCTGGCCAGGGAGTGGCAGTGATACCAGGGAGTCCTGACTTTATTTAAAGATTGATTTATGCATACATGAGCTAGTAAAAGTTAAATTTACAAACTTAGTACCTTTTTACAGTGTACAAGGCTATTTCTAGATTCTGGCAATACGGTGAAGTGAATATATACGAGAGAGGAAGCAGCAACCGCAATATCCAAGAATTGCCTGGACTTAAGGAACAAGGACACCAACGTATTCTTCAAACTTTTTTCACTGCCCAGAAGTTGGCAGGGGTATCCTTACAAATGGAAGAATGAAGATGGACCTTGCGCACCTGTAAAGCCGGACACGGCCTCTCCCGGGGTTCTCCCTCCCTCGCGGATGAGCCCCAGCTCCCCGGAAGTGCCCAACCGCCCCGCCCTCCCGGTTCCGCCTCGCGGTTGCCAGGCTACGGGGTCCCCAGCGCAAAGCTGAGGCTGGTGAGCGCGCGGAAAGTGTCCGTGGTGGGGTCCGGTGAGCTGCCGGGCCTCCCTGCCGGGGCTTCCCGCCTCGCCAGGCTCCTCTGTCGCCCGGGCCGGGCCGGGCCGGTCCCGGCCGAACGCGGGGCGGCCGACCCTCGCCGCGCTCCTAGAAACCAACGCCGCCTCCCCGGCTCCTCACCATCTCCGGACGTGGAGGCTCAGAGCCCCTGAATTACGTTTTCAGGGCCGGTCTCCGGGCCTCAGGCCTTTTTATTCCATCTGTGTCGGGATCACTCCTCCGGGTCGCTCCATCCCCCTTTCTTTCACTTCACGGGCGCGTCCGAGTGCGGGGCATCTTGCTAACGGGAGAGGGAAGAAGCATGGGGCTAGCAAGGGTCCTGACGCCTCGGGAGGAGGCTGGAAGACATGCTGTCCTTCCGGACTCCTCAGGTGTGCTCTGGCCCTCAGAGTGGCAGCCTGTGCCTGTTTGAGGGGTTGGCTGGAGGAGGAGGAGACCTTGCAGGGTTCCCGAAGTCGGGTCCCCTGTTTGAGGGGTGGCTGGGTGGGCTGGAGGAGGGGGAAAGCCTGCAGGGTTTCCTGTCCTCACTTGGGAGCTGCGGAGTGGGAAGGGAGGGTGGAGATTGGCTTTTTCAGTTGTCCCGATCTGGTTTTTTGTTTGCTCAGCTTCTCCTGTGTAATTAGCCGCCCATTTGAAAATTGGGCAGGGCTGGAGGCTGGATGCTGTGTCACTGACTGGTCCTCAACATACCATGCCGAAGTAACATGTTCCCAGCACTGGAGTCAGAGCTAAAGCAGGAGGTCGGTGCACACCCAAGTCCTCTCCAGGATCTCCCCCAGAAATTCCAGAGGGTATAGTCTACAGGCACCTATTTCTAGGTGATCTTGATCCCCAAGATGGGATCACCTGTATCAATGTCCTGCACTTTCCTGTGCACGTGTCCTCAAGCATGCTGTCCTGAGCGACGCTGCTGGTCTATCTCTTGTAAGTTTAGTTTTATGCAAAAGGATTTTTCCTAATGAGATGTCCTTTCCTTTCAGACTCTTCTTGATCCCTATGAAGAGTTTATGTACCATCACCTCCAGTACTATGGCTACTTTAAAGGTAACACCTTATTCCTTATCTAGCTTCACTTTTCATCAGGTAAATAGTTTGATTACTTGGGGAGTCTGTGTGGATAGGCTAGTGACTAATGTCCCCAGCAGCACTGATCTGCTATGTCACCTCTGTTGGGTGTCCACAAAGGGTCTCTTTGTCCTTGCGCGGGTACCCCCCTCTCTTAATTACACTATCCATAGTTATAATAGTCTTGCTATTTGGGAAGGCGTGTTCTCCCCTATGTGTTCTTTAGAAGTGTCTTGACTACACTTGTTGCCTTTCTGTAAAATTTTAGAGTTGTAACTTTTTTTAAGATTTATTGATGCATTCATGCAAGAACTGGCGTACAGGCCATAGGGGATGAGAGGATTCACCAGAGACAGAGTGGGGAGCAGAACAGACAAATTAACTGAAAAACACTCCTGAGGGCAGCAGTGGGCAAGATAGGAGAAGTCTGCCGTGCCATGTGGGTCACCTCCCTGGCAAGTATCGAACTCATAGTGCAGTGGCTGAGATAGCTTCATAGTGCTGTGCTTTAACCCGTTGCACGCCCAGGGAGAGTCCTGAATTGTAATGTTTTAAAGATTTTCAGGGTTGCATTGAATTTTGGGTCAGTTTTCACTAGAAATGAGAATTTTCCCATCCGCAAACATAGTCTAATCATCC